TATAAACAGCTCGCTACATGAAGCTCAACTATTCCAGTGCACTTATGATTCTTGGAGTGATTCATACATGTGAATAAAGACTAATCCTGTAGTTTTAAGAAGAGAAAAGATGGTCATAATCATCCACACTCCAGCTGCAACATGACAACTGAGTGAGTTATTCCACCGTACCTTGTCGTGATGGACTGAGACTAACTCTGATGATAGACACTAGTCATAGGACTCAGCTGAATCCACTTCTGTCTTCATAGCAATGGAGGGGCAAGCGCCTTGGCTCCTGAAAGCAAAATTTAGAAAAACGGCAATTGCCCATGGGTGAGAATATTCCTATGATAAAATGCTATAAAAGCCAAAAAAGCAACCAAAGAGCTTACAGAAGAGATAAATAGAGTATACTAAAACAAAAGGACAACTCAAAGTGGTTCTCAAAGCTAGAATGGCTGGATAAAAAGACAAGATTGCTCGCCCTGTCCTTCTTACAAAAATCCGCCATTTTACCACCAACTCAGGTGCGCGTTAATTAGAAAAATTTCATTGAATAAGGTCCATTGAAATCATGTGGGCGTCAGAGGTATAGGGCCAGAAATTTTTACTCATTATGCTCCAGTTATGCCAGGATAATAACTTGCCCTATTATGCTCCAAATTATGCTAGCATAATTTGCAGTGTTGTTACCCTTGCCACGCGTAGGCATATAGGCAAGGGTATATGAGTCGTTTTAGTTCATGATTTACATTTTAGTTTTAGTTATGGTACTTTAGAACAAAGTATAAATCTATTTAGTTCCATGCAGTTATAGTTATAGTAAAGTTTCAACCTATTTATTTTAGTTATGATTATGTGATACCAATTTTATTTAGTTATAGCTATAGTTTTAGTTATAACAAACCAAGCAATCACAAGCAAAAAAGTCGTTGAATCATAGCAATTTCAAATGTTACCATAAAGAAGCATGCCCCACTAACAAAAGTACCCTCTCAACAGGCTCAATTTTGGTCAAATGAAAGTAGATTTCAATTAGATCTAATAAGTAGGCACGGCTAGTACTAGTACAAAACTGTTAATTCTATTTTAGTTGTAGTTTGACATTAAGTCATTTTAATTATGATTCTAGCTACTTTGACATCAAATGAAAGAATTATAGTTTAGTTAACTAAAATCACAATTTTGTTGTACTAAAATATATTTAGTTATAGTTATAGTTAACTAATTCAACATGGATAATTTGCCTTAGTCCAAAAAATTAATTATCACTTTAAAGTGACCACGTGCAAA